TAAACTGTTTGAGAAATAATTTCATTCTCCACTTCTCAATAGATAAATCTGCTGTCCAACAACCTGAAATTTAATCTGTCCATCTGGAGTAATTGATGAGCTCTGACTTGAATCCAAATGCGTTGGGGAATTCTCTGCAGAGGGTTTGTGCTGCCTCTGCACCAGAGACAATGGGGCGAAGCTGGGGAGGAACAAAGCCAGCAGGAACAAAGCCATGGGAGATTTGGGGGGGAATCCAAGCCCCTTACTGGAGGGCTTGGCAGTGCTGAGTTGATGGTTGGACTTGATCTTGGAGATCTTTTTTAACAAAAATGGTTGTGTTTCTCCATTAACAAAGCAGTTTTGGTGGGTGCATGTGTGGCCTTTAGGTCTGGGATGTGTTTCCAGCCCACCCTGAATAGTTTTCTTTTCTCTGGTGAATTTGCATTGGAAATGATTCCTGTCTTGTCAGTGCAGGTGCCACGGGTGCCCAGTCATTTGGGGAGTGCAGGGAGGGGCCTGAAGTGTGGCCTGTGAGGAAGAGTCACCCACACCCTCCCCAAGAGTCCTCTCCCACCCCCAGGGCTGGAGTTTCCAATTGCAGAAACATCTGGGGTGGGTGGGCACATCCCTGCTGAGATCCCAGTGCAAAGTGGAGTTACTCAAATACCAAATTACCCCTTTTTTGACCTCCCCTGAAGGCACCTCCAGTGCATTTCTGAGTTTGAGTGGCACAAAAACTCAGCAGCACAACCCTTTGTATGCCCTGTGATCATCGGAGGAGTCTCTAAACTCACTGAATCTAGTAAAGGAGAGAAAATAATGAAAATTTTCTATTAAACAGAGCATCCCAGAAGCTGCTGAGTAGCTGCCAGTGTGTCCCAGGCCTTGGGGCTGTTGGCCACCCCAATGTGCAGGAGGGTGGCCAGGGGCTCCCAGGGGGAGTTCAGAGCAGTTTATTCACTTTATGACTCTGCAGAGTGGTTAAAAATAAGCAGAGCTCTTGTGAAACTGGCTGAGTGCAGGTGATGGGGCCTCTGCTGCCTCTCTCTAGTGCTGCTTCTTACAACCCTGCAAGGCCTGGGGCAGAGCTGACCACGTTTTTCTCATCCATTATCTGCCTTCAGGGTGTTTTGTTTCACTAGATGAGTTTCTTGCTCTGTTTTTCACAATCCCGTCCATGTTCCAGTCCCTCTTCCCTCTCTGATGGGCTTTGCAGTGCCCCGGGTGTTCTCCCCAGCCATGGATTTGTCCTGGGGCTGTCGCAGAGCCTGGAAATGTTGGTGGCCATGGAATTCATGGAATTCCCTGGAGCCATGGCTGGTGGCTCCCAAGGCTGTTTTGGATGTACAGGAGGGTGCCAGGATTGGGAATTTGTGATGTTGGTGCTCCCTTGCTCCCAGGGCCCTGCTCAGCTCCCGCCTCACTCAAAGCAGATAAATGACAGCACTGATTTTGGGCCTGACAGGTGCTGAATGAGCCCCATGGAAAACATTGATTTCTTTTCTCTCCTGTGAAATGTTTGCTTGTCCAAAGGTGTGATTGACTGGTGAATAAAATGGCCTCAGCACAGCCCCTGTTAAATGGGAGCTAATTTTAACCTGTGGCTCTTGAGTAACAGTCCTGAGCCAAGAATTCATCATCTTCCATCAGCAGCGACCTCAAAACGCCAGGAAAATCAAAAGCACAAGATGGCACTTTGCAGATTGGCCACAGGAGAAGGGCCAGGAGTGAATTGTGCTGGGTGTCCCCACCTGGACTTCTGGTGCTCCAGGAGTGAGGGTGAAACCCACCCCTGCAGCTGTCATCCCCAGTGGTGGCTGTTCCTGTGGGCAGTGTGGTGGCCTTGCTGCCAGCTCCTTAATTAACTGGTTAATTGTGTTTCTGGTGGTTTACAGCAGGCCTTTTCCAGCAGCTCCTTGAATAGATGATGGGCTTTTCCCTCCATGTTTGTCCAGGGCCTGGCTGGTGGTGTGGTGGCTCTTTGCTGATGTCACCTGGAGCTGCCACCTTAGTAGGTGCCTCCTCCTCTTTTTATTTCTTTACCAGCTGTGGTGAGGGGGTTTCCATGTCTGAATTGGATGTGGCACATCACTTTTGGCCTTTGTTTCCTTCACTGGCACAGGTTCTCAGAGCAGCTGTGGCTGCCCCATCCCTGGCACTGCCCAAGGCCAGGCTTGGAGCAAACTGGGATGGTGGAAGGTCCCTGTCCATGGCAGGGGGATGGAAATGGATAATCCTGACCATCCCAAACCATTCTGTGATTGTGGTTTGGTGCTGCCCAGCCTGGGATGGATGAGCAGGGGCGGGAGGGAATGCTGCAGAAGGGCGGGGCGGTTCTGCAGAGGAGGTTTGCATCTTGCTGTGTGTAATTGTGGCTGCACCCTGTGCCATTAACTTTCAAAATTGGAGGCTTAAAAGGATTTAAAATAAGCACACGCTGGAACTTTGGAATCAATGGGACTGGCAGTGCAGCGAGCACACGCAGCCTGGGGTGCAAATTCTTGCAAAGATAAAGTTGTGAAATAACCAGTGTCAGCAAGAGAGCCTGTAAAGCAATTCCAAAAAAAAAAAAAAAAAAAAAAAGAGAGAAAAAAACAACCAAAAACCTCCCAGTCTAGACACTTATATTTACTGCAGTCTTTATGTGAGATAGAGGAATGCCCCAGAAAACCAGGTTTGTTTTCAATTCCTGCCTCTGGCACGTGCTTGTCTGATGAGAAGGCTCTGATGTGATGGGACTGTCCTGTGCCCCCCGTGCTGGGGGAGCTCTGCTGGAGGGGCAGAGGGGTAAAAGGTTATTTCTTGCTTTGTGTAGGTGCAGCAGCCTGCTGTTAATGAGGTGGTTTTGCTAATCCAGGCTGGAAAACCCTCATGTCTAATCCCCAAAGCAGCACTAACGAACCACGTCTGTGGAGATACCATGGCCCCAAAGACTGTGCTTTGATTCTTTTAATTAAAAGAAAATTAAGCTATTTTTCTTTTGCTTTGAACCCTGGGTGAAGTTTGCAGGCGGTGTGTGTTTGGTGGCAGCTCTAGGATTGTGCCATGTGACAAAAGCAGGAGGAATCCACCCAAAGGCAGCTTGCCTCCTCTGCCTGTTGATCACACGGGGGTGATTCACCCCCTTGATGGATGGATTTCCTCAGGATTCTAACGTGTTCGTTAGGTATCTGTGAGGAGTTTGCTGGAAAAGTGAAGGGTTGCCTGAAGATATAGCAATAAATTGAAGGTATGTAAAAAGAAGGGAAGTTAATTGACTGACTCAGCAGATGAAGGATGTAGGTGATGCAGCTGCAAAAATGAAGCAGATTTTTATTTTTCTCTTCTTAAGCCCCCGTGTTGCCAGGAGCAAGACCATTTGGAGTCCTCAGGCTTCAGAACCCCTGATAATTTTTGATAAACAAAAATTTTGTTTGCTGTAAAGACGGGAGTTTTTAAAAGAGAAACTTGATGTTGCTCTGCCAGTCAACCTTGCTGGATAACCAAAGGTTTGGAAGGGATATTGTAGATCATCCAGACTGGGTAGGGACACCTTCCTCTCTCCCAGGTTGTTCCAAGCCCTGTCCAACCTTCCAGAGACACTTCCAGAGATGGAGCAGCCACAGCTTCTCTCCACCCTCACAGGGAAGAATTCTTTCCCAAAATCCCATCTAACCCTGCCCTCTGCCAGTTTAGAGCCATTCCCCTTGTCCTGTTGCTGTAACATGTGTCCCTTCTGTAGGGAGCCAAATGGTATTGTGCTGGAAATGGTTAAATGTTCAACCCTGGGCTTCTGTGCAACATCAGCTGTAATTTACATTTGCTTTTGACCTTGAAAGGGAAACATCCTGGCTTGAATTCTTGAGTTCTGCAGCGTTACCTTGGGATAAAGTTGTTGTTTTTCAAAGGGGCCTTGTGTTCCTGGAGCGCAGCTGAGAACACAGGAGCCCTCGCAGGGCACCAGAGTCTGACATCCTCAGAAACAACTGGGGATAATCCAAATAAACTCCTGCTGGCCTTGCAGGGCGAGCTTCTCACTCCCTGCTTGTACAAGTGACGGGGTAGGATGGTTGGGATGGACAGAGATGAGAGATCTCTGCAGCCAGGGCTTGGAAATTGTGGTTTACTGCAAAGGGCCTGGGTGCAGGGCCCTGCCTGGAGCTGCCAGGCACAGCTCAGAGCAGGCCCAAAGAGGAAAGGTAAAGAGAATGGTGAATAGGATGAGAGAGCAAGGTTCCTGTTACAATACAATAAATCTTCTTCTGGTCTTGGAACCTGTGGGTTATTGCAAAGGGCCTGGATGCAGGGCCCTGCCGGGAGCTTCCAGCCGCAGCTCAGAGCAGGCCCAAAAAAAAGAGAGAGGTAAAGAGAGAGAAGGCAAGAGTGTGGTAAAAAGGATGAGAGAGAGAGTGAGAATGAGAAGAATTAAAGGTACCTGCAGCCCTTTACACATTTCAATGTCACCAGCTAGGCTAGAAGAGCATCTTTGACTCCTGTCAATAGTATCCTAAAAAGCTAAAAACAATGGTTCAAAAACCAGAAGAGGGAAAGAGAGAGTGAAGTTCCCGTTACACTACAATAAATCTTCTGTACTGAATATTCTGATTCTCACTAAGAAATCTAGTACAATATATAAATCCTATAGCATTTACATACAGCTTATAAGAATCATTATATTCCCATACTGTGCTACATTTTAAACCCTAAAAACTCCTCTTTGGGCCCCTTCTGCCAAGCTGTAGGGTCTGCTGTGACCCTTGGGCCTGTCTGCAAGCAGAGGATGTTGTTTCATCTACCTTCAGCCAGCCACACCATTGTTTTCCAGTTGTTCAGTAACTATCTCAAAGCTTGCTTTCATTTCAATCTCACTTCTAGTTTCCATATTCTCAAAATCTTTTGCCAGGCAATCATATTTATAAGGCTTTCCTGTTTCATCTTCCCCAATGCTCACTTGTCTTGCATTTAACTCAGGAAATCTCAGCTGTAATTTGTGCCTGTCTCACTCATTTCCCCCTCTTTTCCTCCGTTTTCTCCCCCAGTTTCTGTGTTTGAAGAACATCAGGACCTTCCTGAAGGTGTGCCACGACAAGTTTGGGTTAAGGAACAGTGACCTCTTTGATCCCTTTGACCTCTTTGATGTGCGGGATTTCGGGAAGGTAAGAGTTAATGCTGAGCTCCTGGGGAGGGATGGCTCTGCCACTGGGGCTCCCTGGGTTTGTGCTCCAGATTTGGGGTGAAAATACAAAGATTTTGTGGTTTTCTGAGCAGCCTCTGAGAATTGCGCACCAGTTCCCCTGTGCTTGTGGTGTATTTAGGATTCTGCTGTGTCCTCAGTGTATTTAGGACTTAAAACCCTAAATTTAGGGGTTAAAAACCTAAAACAGGTTGATTCTGCTGTGTCCTCAGTGAAGGGTGACCAAGCCATCAAGTTTTCTGCTTTAGATGAAAAACTCTCTGGGATCAGTCTCTAAAGGATGTGGCAATGTCTTCTCTAAAGGACCTGTGGTAATGTTTTTCACTCAGGGTCACCAAATGTGGAATTTGCAGGTAACTCTGACATGGGAAGAGATGAGAATCTTTACTTCATGTTTCAGAAGGCTGATTTATTATTTTATGATATATATTATATTAAAAGAAAATGATATATTAAAACTATACTAAAGAATAGAAGAAGGATTTCATTAGAAGGCTTAAAAGGAATGAGAATAAAATCTTGTGACTGACCAGAGAGTCTGAGACAGCTGGACTGTGATTGTCCATTAATTAAAAACAACCACATGACACCAATCAAAGATGCACCTGTTGCATTCTACAGCAGCAGATAATCATTGTTTACATTTCATTTTTGAGGCTTCTCAGCTTCTTAGGAGGAAAATCATAGCAAAAAGATTTTTCATAAAATATATCCATAACAGTGACCCCATGTGTTTTTGAGAAGAACCAAACCTTGCCTGGGGTCCACACCTCACTCAGTCCTTCCCCATCTGCTGCCAGGGATGCAGAGCAAAACAAACTTTGCTGAAATCACCACTGATTTTTATCTCGTGGCCACTGAGTGTCTGTGGGGTTTCATGGCAGGGTGAAATGAGTGCCCTGAGCTTCTCAGAAATGTGTTGGCTCTAAGTGATGGTTGGCACCAAATATCAAAGAAGGAAAACTCTGCCTTGGTTTTGACAAGTGGCTCTTGCTCTGATCCCCTGCCTTTGACACCAACTGCATCAGGGCTGATGGATGCAGGGCTCAGGGAAGCCATTACCCAGGACAATTGCTATATTCTTCAGCAGAAAAGGTGATAAAAGATTTATTAAAGCTCTGTATTGTTTTACCTGTTTCGAGCTGCCAGACATAAGCTGCTGGAAGGCATCTTCCCTTCTGATTATCCAAGGAGTAGATTTTCACTGCTGGTGGGGATATATTATTTGATATTTATTGCCTAATTTATTTCTGGACCATTATGTGGAATGTGCAATTGCAGTGCCTTGTTTTATGAGGTTTTTTTTGATTTATGGAACACAAGAAGGCAGTTGTTGTTCTGGGAATATGAATGCACAGAAGGAACCTTTTGGGCTGGGGAAGGAACTGCTGCTAATTAAAATGCTGCTTTATCGTCACATTGTCTCTTGCTTTGTGCAGTTTCAAATTGCCTCTGATGCCTGGTGTTAAACACTGCTGGAGCACATCAGCTGATGAGCACAGTTTGCTTTTCCTTGTTCTGCTCTTCCCTCCCCCGGTCATTTTTTGGGGGTGCATTCAGCTTTGTGACTTGGGGAGGTGATTTGCCACTCCCTCTTTGCTCAGGGCAATCTGGTTTTTTAGGAGACTTGGGAAAGAAATGTGTCATAAACTTCCAAGAGATCCAAATGTGCTTTATTGCCTGCATCGTGCTTGTTTTCACGTCGTTCTCATCCTCAACCAACCATAGAAAATGTGGGAAGCACAGACTCTCTATACAAAAACCTCATTTTTTCTTTTTTATCAGCTTGGTGGAGGTATCAGCTGTCCAGCTCTGCACCACCCTAAATCCCTCTGGAAGCCTGTCAAAACATTCCCATTGTCTCCAGCACCTTTCATTCCCACATTACCCTCAGATCTGTGTTCAACAGTGGCAAAGCAAATAAACAGGGAAAAATCTGCTGCTGACCAGAGCTCCCTTTCCGTTTTGAGTCACAGCAAAAGGAGCCTCTAATCCACCTCCCCACTGGCCAAACACAGACTTCACACACAAAAAATCCTTCCTGGAGCTATTCACTGCTCAGATCAATGGTGTTTTTTTGGTTACAAGACACTTACACCGTGTAGGAGGCATTTCTGGTGGGTCATAGTTACACAGAGTTTAATTGCAGATGGATTTTGGTGGAATGAGGTTGGGTGTTTCCTTTCTGGATGCCACTGGGAGAGAGTTATTCCTCTCCTCCAAACCAAAAAAGCCACTGGGACAGCAATTAGCAGCAGTTTTTGGGATTGCTGGAGTGTAATTACTGAGGAGAAAGGCGGGGACTTGGTGCCAACCTCTGTGTAAAGGGCTTTGAATCTTTGGGGTTTTTTAGTGTTAGAAAACCACTGGTGCTTTAAAGAGGCTGAAAAATCAGAGCCCTCAGTCCTGCCTTGCCCAGCTGTTATTCTGAGAGAGGTTTCCATGTTTCCATCACTCCTTTTGGCTCCTGCAAAGAGGAGCTGCCATGGGAGCAGTGGAGCCCCTTCCAGCTCTGCCTGGGGGCTCCCCAAACCCAGGTTTGCTCCTGGTTTTGCTTCTTCCTTGAGTTTTCAGCTTGGGGAGGTGCTTTTTGCTGTCAGCAGGGTGAAATAGGATCATGAATCACCTGGATTTCTCCAGCCAAAATCCCAGTGGAGCTGGAAACTCCTCGTTGGCTCTGTGGGATGTTGGGGAATGGATGCTCAGGCTCTGCCAGATGGGTGCACCCCATTAATTCCCTGTGATCTGCAGTGTCCCACAGCTCCCCAGGGCAGCCCAAAGGCCAATCCCAATTGCTCATGGCCAGTTGGAATTGCTGGCAGGCAGCTCTTTTCCTCCATGTCCAGTTTTAAAGCAATCCTGCTGTGGTGTGGATGATAAAGCAATAATCCTGTGTTTCATGGCAGAGGTTTGCAGAAGTGACCTGAGATGCTGGTGCCTGTATTTCTACCCATGCCCCTTCAATATTAATTATTTCTGAATATTTGATCCCTTTAAAGTGGTTCAGATCTCCCTATACCAGTGGCATCTACAGAAGTGTTTTTTTCCATGGATGCAGGAGTAAAACCTGAGTTAATATTGCCTTATTCCTAACTAGGGTCTGATTCTCCAGGCTTGCTGTTAGTACAGCCTGGCTCTTAAAAAAGAAATAAAATAAAAAGCTGGTGCTTGTGCTGTGTGTGTTGTTACACATTTAGTAGCAGTGATGGTATAAAATCAAACTCTTATTGGACTTGCTAATTTATTGGCAGCAACTGTAATGACATAAAATGTACATAAATATGGATTAAACTCTTTATTACTCTATTAGTCAGCGTGATGGTAGCCAGGTTCATTAAAAGGAGTTACTCATTTTAAATAACTTGCAGTAATGTACAATTTTTTTAAAAAAGAAATATAGTTCAAATATTCATAAACCTGTGGAGCGTGCCATTTATTAGCCTCCAGCTCCTCTCTGCCCTTCTGACGTGGATTTAATCACCCTGAATTCATTTTGAAGTTCCTGCTCTCTTTGAAAAAGCCTTTTTTTGGCAAGATAAGGGTTTTCCCTGCCCTGCCCCACAGATAGGAAACACTAAAAATGAAAAGGGGAAGCGATTCACAAGGCAGCTGAAGGAGGAGGAGATGCTGGTACTGAAATTAAAGTTGTTTTTCATTTTGCTTCTGGTCCAGAGGCTGGGGAGGGAGATCTGCACCCACCTCACATCTGGAGCAGGCTCTGGATCAGTTCTTCCTCTCAGCTGAACCCAGGGAGATTTTGGATGGTGTGGGGCAGGGCCAGGGCTCAAAGGAGATTTGTTTTGGGTGGCTGCAGTGCCAGGGAGAGGATGTGGCTGCTGGGGAGGTGCCCCAGCCTGGCACGCTGCAGTGGCTGCCTTGGGGTGGGAGTGAAATCAGAGCTAAAGCAAGAGCTGTCCTTGGTAAATTTGGGGTAATTGCTCCAGGTATTGAGGGTATTTTTTAGCGTTCCATCCCTCCTGCTGATGGAGGAATTAAAGTCGTGTTTTCCACTCTGGTTCTGCTCCAGAGGTTGAGGAGGGAGATCTGAATCCGCCTGTTCAGATCTCCCTCCCGAACAGCTGGAGCAGGGTTTGGGGCAGGCTCTGGATCAATTCTTCCTCTCAGCTGAACCCAGAGAGATTTTGGATGGTGTGGGGCAGGGCCAGGGCTCAAAGGAGATTTATTTTGGGTGGCTGCAGTGCCAGCGAGAGGATGTGGCTGCTGGGGAGGTGCCCTGAGCATGGCACACTGCAGTGGCTGCCTTGGGGTGGGAGTGAAATCAGAGCTAAAGCAAGAGCTGTCCTTGGTAAATTTGGGGTAATTGCTCCAAAATTGCTCCAGATATTCAGGGTATTTTTAGTGTTCCATTCCTCCTGCTGATGGAGGTCCTGGAAAGCCCTGGAGGGATCCAGGCTGTCCTCACTTTGTCCCCAGCCCCTTCCAGGTGAGAGCCTTTGGAACCCATTGGATGCTTTAGGACAGCTCTGGAGGGGCTCAGCTGCCACAATCCCTTTCTGTCCCACCCCAAATGCTGCCAGAGAGTCAGAAAACTCCAATTTCTGTTTGCTTTCACACAGGAGGGTGGGGAGTGCTGTCAGAATTATTTAAGGGATTCATAACCGAGAGTTGGTGTTTCTGTTTCTCTGCTGAGAATTCCCCTCCCTCCAGCATCCCCAACCCCATCTAGCAGCCTCCAGCCCTGTTTTTAAGGGTGCCTTTTTTTTTAGTGTTAGAAAACCACTGGTTTTCTATTTTATTTATTATTTTTAACACAGTTTGGGCAGAGAAAAGGGAGGGATTTATATGAGTTAATATAGCAAGGCAGAAACTGCAGAAATTCCAGATATACAGCAGCTGTAAACCCAGTGCCAGCTGTGACCTGCTGCTCCTCTTCTCTCATTTTGACTTTCAGGGGATTTTTTCTGACCTCCTGCAGCCAAGAACATATTAAAAGCAGTGTGT